ACTGTACTTTTTTGCTGCAATGCATCAGGTACACGAAAATTTAAACCATTCGTAATTGGCAAAAGTGCACGACCACTATGTATGAAAACTACCAATATGTCTAAATTACCTGTGCACTATTCTAACAATAAAACAGCATGGATGACTGAAACAAAATGGGAAAATTGGTTGAAATGGTTGGATAGTCAAGTTAATCAGCCAACTATTCTCTTAGCTGATAATTGTACTGCACACTCAAGCCCCAGGTTGCAAAATATTAAGTTGGAATTTTTGCCGCCACATACCACATCGGTTATTCAACCATGTGATGCTGGGATTATTAAAAATTTCAAAGCTAATTATCGTAAGCTATTAGTAAAAAAATGGATTGATGATATAGAAAGTGGAAAATCCTTTGAGCCAATTAATGTTAAAGAAGCTATTTATTTAATTTCTGATGCATGGAAACAAGTGTCGCTCATGACGATCGTTAATTGTTGGAATAAAACAAAAATACTTCCATTAGAAATGGATTTAACTGCTGAAACAAGTGATAATAATGATATAGATGAACTTGAGCAGGTGTTAGAAGAACTAGAAATGTCATACGATTGTATTAAATTGTCAGCAGAGGAATATATAAATGTGGATGAAGAATTACAAACGATGGATACACCAACTGAAGAATCTGTTGTCAGAGATATTCTTAAAGAGCAAGGTTTGGTTGATAATGAAAATTCGGATGAGGAAGAGGTGGAGGAGGAAGAAGTTGTAGATGAATTGATTCCGTATAATGAGGGAAAAATAGCATTGGAAGTTGCAAAAAAATATCTTGAGCAATCACAATTTGCTACTGAAGATGATATTTATTTGTTACGACAAATAATTAAAAAGGCAGAAAGTTATTACCGATCTAGCCTTAAACAAACAACTATTGATAAATATTTTATTACTCAATAGATTTGTTTTTTTTTGCTTGTGCTAAAATCAATTATATAATATAAATAAAGTTATACAATTAAATGGCTTCAAGTTTTAAGCAAAGTTGACGAATGTATTGAAACTGCATTACTTTAAATTCTGAAACACTTAAAAAATGACTGAAATAATAAGTTTTGATATTACTAACTTATTGATTCTGAACGATATTATATTAATTTAGTTATTGAAAACTATGAAAGCAGAGAAATACCGTCTATTTATAGTCTTTGCTAACGGAAATTAACAAGTTTTTGCAAAATTCGAATAAATTTCGGCACAGGATATATTTTTTTGATAATTTACTAATGTTATATAAATGTACAATAATCGAATTTTATAAAACAAATAAAACAATCTAATTTTTTAATAATATAGGTGACAATTTTTTTGGTTTACTATAAAATTCGAAAAGACACAATGTTTATAGATAACTGGAATTGCATATATAAGCTTATCTTCAACCAATAACTATAGTATACAGTATAATAAGTTAATAATATATAGTTATTTAATACGAAGTATTAAATAATAGAAGTTATATAGTATTATTTCTGTATTAATAAAATTCGAAATTTGATTGGTTCAAAATCATGTGACAAAATATGCCTAATTTAACCAAAACTTAAGTTATATC